AGTAAATACCACCAAAAGAAAGCTATATGTGTGAAAAAAATTATAAAAATTTCATATGGGTACAATGTTGTCATTCAAAGTGCGACAGTTCTGAAAGCTGAAAATTGGCCTGGGCAGGAAGGGGGTATAAGTGCCCGGTAGGCAAGTGATTAATAGCTCAAAAAGGAAAAATTGTCTTTGTTTTTCTCATGTACCCATCAGGGCTAATTTTACTTGAAAATCTAGTCAAGAAAATACCAAACAACAAAATGAATAATTATAAAAATAATTGAATTAAAACTGGTTTAGGAGTAAACAATGTTACATTTTCTGCAACAATAACATTTCAATAAGGACTGGTTTTAGGTACTGTATATCAATACAGGCATTTTCAGTAAATCCTTCTGAAATACATGACTGAATACACATAAGCACTTGGCGGCAGTTTAAAGATTAAATCCAGAGAACATTTTTTTTTTACTTTGAAAGTGAGAATCTCCAAAGAGGACATACCAATAGCTATAAAAGCACCTTAATTAGTAAAGTGGGGAAGTTATAACCTAGAGTATATCAGGTTGTTACCTGCTCTTTGGGTCCCAGGTGGGTAAGTTGCTTATCACTGTCTGTCCTGACAACTGCAAAACTGGTGAATAGGAATTGCCTAACAAGGGCACTAAAAAATTGAAACAACCACCACTCCCCACTAAAAAAACACCAAAATGTAAAAATTCAGTTCTATAATTGATTTTCTCTGTCCCTCCAAGAAAGATTTCCTCATCTCTTTTTTTTATGAAAAGGCAAACATGAAAACATTAAAATACAATGTAATGAACAAATATACAGGGAGAAATATGTTCAATTACTGACATTGATAAAATAATAAAAATATTCTAGAGTACTTAACAGCCTAGATTAATTTAAATAACACTTTCTAATTTATTTTAGTGGCTTTTCACTTTCAGTGATGTGTGGTTAGGTCCTACTGCTAACCATGATCTCCTGTGGGGCTCTGCCAACTGCCAACTTAGTTTTTAAAGGTCCAAGATCCAGAACTGCCATATTTATCTCTGCTCTATTGTCTACTGCAACAGATCAAGCATGCAGCCAATGAAGTAGGAATATCTGGCCTGCAACATTAGGTAAAACAAGCAAAGGTGAGCGACGGAGAATGCATCTTTATAAATCAAGTAAGCGAAGGCAGCTTTCATATTTCTTTACGGTTAGTGTCCCTTTAAAGCTGAAGTTTAGGTATAAATTTGATTGCATAGTTCAGCTTGGTCCAGCTTGGATCAATGCAAGTATGCATTCTCCTGATAGATCCCTGTGTAAGCTGCGAATCACCCTAGTATTTGATGCTAAGTAACCAAAGCGGGTCGCTTGGTCAGCACTTCCGCCATTCCCAGAATGCCTTGTATTTTTTCAATGAATACAAGGCATTCTCTGGTTGGACGAAGTGGAGATTGTGAGGTCACCGCTCTACCTCTCCACCTCATCAGAGAATGCCTTACATTCAATGAAAAAAATACAGAACATCCTGTGAATAGCAACAATACTGAATGAACAGCCCTCTGTGGTTACTATACAAAAGGACAGCCACTTTCACTGAACCTGAGACACTGTTGCTGTCACTGTAGTATTTATTTATTAATTTCAGGTACTTATATCGCGCCATCAATTTATGCAGCACTTTACATACATATATGGTACATTCACATCAGTCCCTAACCCTCAAGGGGTGTACAATCTAAGGTCCCTAACTCATATTCATTCATACACATACTAGGGCCAATTTAGACAGGATCCAATTAACCTACCAGCATGTCTTTGGAGTGTGAGAGGAAACTGGAGTACCCAGAGGAAACCCACACCGGCACAGGGAGAACATGCAAACTCCAGGCAGGTGGAGCCGTGGTTGAGATTCAAACCAATGACACTAGTACTGCCAGGCGGAAGTGCTAACCACTTAGCCACTGTGCTGCCCATAGTGGTTTGCAGTGATTTGCAGTTTCCAGGTATGAGATATGTATCCTTACACTGCTCCAGGCTGGACCATTGTAACTATGCAATTCAATTCATACCTAAACCACAGATTTAAACTGACACTAGTAGCAGCAACAGAGAGAAACTTAATGTCTTAATGAAAGTATAGCGCTACATTTACACCAGATACAGTGCATGTTTATGAAGTGTTTTGGACACAATTTAAAAGAATTATGAAGGACCACTTTTCAGTTATCTTGAAAGTATATGTCAGCAAACTAAAATTGCAATAAATGTTTTAAAGGCACTCAATGTGTGAACAAAAGCCCATCAATTAGTGTTGATTTTTCTTCTGTTTGTATTCCTTCCAAAGTTATCCTAAAGCTGGCCATAGCAGGGACCGGCTGAGATTCAAACCATATATAGGCAGGCTGAATGTACCCAAGTTGATCAATCGATTTAAATGCGGATATTGCTAGTGGCTATTATATCTGCTAGCAGTAATCACTCTGTTCTCCAGGCGGGGACGGCTCTTCCTGTCCCTCCTCCAGGAGAGCACAATGGCTCCGCGGGCGGGATTCCCCCATCAACCCGTGGTTTCAAGAAAGTAATTTCTTAATTCTTTGGGCTGCAATCAGCCAGTATTATCATGGGGGTTTACCAACAAAATCCCCCTTTGCTGGCCACCATTAAAGTATACCCTGTCTTGACAAATGCGTAGGCTCCAACAGGGGCGGACTGACAACTCATGGGGCCCCCGGGCAATAGGGGATCATGGGGCCCCTGTGTCCTTGCCCAAACTCAAAAAAGGTACCAGGTGCATCTCATGGGGCTCCCTACTGACCCCGGGCACTCGGGCAGTGCCCGAGTTTCCAAATGGTCAGTCCGCCCCTGGGCTCTAAATATTTCCTTTTGAAAATGCTGATGCTTTGCTTTAACCACTTCCCATCTGGCCCAAGTACATAAACGGCCGGACGGGAGCAGTGCAGGAGCAGGTGGCCGTTTATAAACGTCCTCACACATTCCCTGCCTGTGCGCGCTCGCACTGCGATCTGGTGCCCACTGTGTCCGAACACCGATCGCTGTACGGGACCTCTGTGTGAGGTCCCGATCATGTGATCACTGATTGGCCAATCAGTGATCACATGAATAGTAGTAAGATGTCACTTGCTGACATCATTGCTTACTACTAGTGAAATCTGTGAATGATCACAGAGGTCACATGGTACAAGGCTATTCACAACAGCCTTGTACCATGTGACAAGCTGTGACCAATCACAGCTCTCACAGTATTTCTCACTGGCTACAAGAATGCAGCTAGAGAGAAGGAGATATTATTGCTTTTACAGCCTTTATGGGTGTAAAAGTATCAGTGTAAAAAAAGAAAAAAAAATCTTCATCAACCCCCACAAGTAGTACAGTGTCACTAGGGTGCTAGGGTGACAGTATGTTAAAAAAAAAAAAAAGCATAAAGATAAAAAAAAATTTAAAACATTTTTTGAAAAATTATAATTTAAATTTTATAATTATAAACTACTTTGGATTTTTTTTCATAAAAAGATAGCTGAATACATTTTGGCCAAGATTTATGAAGAAATATTATTTATTTGCAACATTTTATAAGAAAAACACTTTTTTTTCAAAATGTTTGGACTATTTCATTTATATAGCAAAAAAAAAAAAAATCCCAGTGGTGAATAAATACCACCAAAATAAAGTTTTATCTGTCTCAAAAAAAAAATGATAAAAAATTCATATGGGTACAGTGTCGCATGACCGCGCAGTTATCATTCAAAGTGTGATAGCACTTAAAGCTGAAAATTGGCCTGGACAGGAAGGGGGTGAAAGTGTCTGGACTTGAAGTGGTTAATGTTAGAGGTTAGAGAAATTCTGACCCTTTTCAGATATGTTTGTTTTGGGTTATTAGCCCAAAAGTATCGAAACCAACCCCAGCCAGGTAACTAGCTTTTCAGAATGAGGCTATCCATGAAAGACTGCATATTTTTCCCTGACAAGTGTATTTCCACCTTTGCAGCCAAATATAAGAAACCCATATTATATGTTACGTGTTCCCTTTCATACAGCATACCGAAAATTAGTTAAAAGAAAAGGTTTCTCACCACGAGCAAGATTATACACGACTTTATGGACACCTTGTGTTGTTCAGAGTAACTTGCATGGGACATTTTAGGGGCAGATTTAAAAGCGCATTAACAATGTACCATGCAGGCTTATTAGGACAAACAATGAGCACATCTACAGTAGTTTGCAAATGATAATGAAAATTGCCAGTCCAGTACAGACAGGGTTAAATATAGTAAAAATTAACTCCCCAGCCCCTTCCTTAACCCCTTCACGCCGGATCGTCCCGGCGTGAAGAGGAGTTCCTGCGCCGGGAGGTGGGCGGGGCTTAGTGTCATGTGGCCGCCGCGATGTCACGGCTGGTCACATGATCGGGAAAGGTCCTGATCGAAAGAGCGGACCGAGACCTTTCCGTGAGTACCTCACATGTGTGCTGGGAGCGCGCAGGGCGCGCGCTCTCAGCACATATGTTTTTTGTTACATGAACGCAAATGTGCGGCCACTTGGTGTCTAGGCCCAGACGATGGGAGACGGCACATTTGTGTGTGGCTGGTGTGAAGGGGTTAACATTACATAGATGGGGAATGCTAAAAAGGATTTTATAGTATTTTTCAGTAAACAAAAAAGTAAGCAGCTAATTTTCAATATTTTTTTAAAAGACATGCTTTGAAAACATGTAACAAATATAAAGGAAATGTTATTCCAAGTTAAGTTGGAGTTAACAATTCTATTATTGGTACATTTGAATTAGTTCACACCTACTCCTATGTTAAACAGTTCCTGTATTGATTTGGCCTATTTTCTCTCTGCACCTGAAAAAAGGATCTTGCGTCATTGCATATGTAGTGCAATACTTCAGTATATATTTCTAGGCTCAGATGCATATATCAAAATACATTCTTTTTTTTTTTATTAGTAAGCTCGCATCAAAAGAGATCATTTTCAAAGTCATCGGTCTGGTCACTAGGTTTGTTATAGGTGTTGTCAGATTCCACAGCACCTATTTCATCAGACTCTTCAGCTGGAATTCTGAGACTCTCTGTTGGTTCACTCATTACATTTTCCAGTGCTGCAGAATCTAATGTTTCAGTAGGAGTTGTTTCTTCACCTTCTTGTCCATCATCAGGAGTGAAAGCCCCTACCCTTCTAAATTGAGACTGACTAGGCAAAGCAGTCACTGGCCTTTCACGCAACCTTTTCTTTAGTTCCTCTTCCTTTGTCTGTAATATTCAAGCATTGCAACTGGTATTAGTGAAACAATTCACAATACAAAGCAGCATTATCTTACTTAATTGAACTGTTAGACTTTAAATTAATATACTGAGTGATTGCTTTACAGTCATGTTGCATGCAGTTTATGTAACCCACCCACCTTGTGAAAACAACCCATTCAATTTAAATGGAAATGAAAGGCAAAACTTGTGTACAGAGATAACAAAAAAAAAAAATTATAAACACTTTTCCCCCCCATTTTTATATTTGATCACAGACCTGTAGGAGGAGGAACAGCAGCACACTGAACTTCCCAATGAATGTCTGTGCAGGATGAGGGTGTGAGGGACAAGTCTGATCATTGTAGGAGAGCAAGCTGAGTTCCCAGCACAGCTAGAGATCTGACCAACAGTGTGATCTGCTTAGTGTTGATCCCCCCCAGAGGGACTGGCAGGAACACCAGAGATTTCACACAAAGGAAGCAAAGAGAACAGGATACTTTTTCAAGTATATGGTACAGCAGGCACAGATCAGGAATATGAAATGTTGCATTTACATATTCTTTAAGTTTCAGTCACTTTAATGTAAACTGCTTGCCTGATCTGATCTCAATAGCAAATAGAAAATTAGTTCATACTAGGAATATGCTCATCTCTTCAAAGGCCATAAATTAGGATAACATTTGGGTTTGCTGCCACCATGGTTATAGAGGCAAATCTTGCGTGTTTAAGATTCCAAGTAACAGCAAATGTATGTGTAGATTCATAATGGAGGCAGGGGCGTCCCTAGGGTTGGTATCGACTGGTGCAATAACACTTGGTGACACCCCCTCTGACGATCCCCGCAGAATGGATCGGATCTGCGGATTGAGCATAATGGATCGGACTTTGATCCATTATGCTCAATCCGCAGATCTGATCCATCCTGCGTGGATCGTCGGCTTGCTTTACATCTTACCTTTTTGTGGAGTGGGTCCGGTGTCACCCGATATAGGTTGCATGCCGACAATCTCCGAAGGATGGATTGGATCTGCGGATTGAGCATAATGGATCGGAGTCTGATCCATTATGCTCCCCAATCCGCAGATCCGATCCATCCTGTGGGGATTGTCGGCACGTAACCTACGGGCTAACTCTGGACCAGCTCTACAAAAAGGTAAGTTGTAAAGCAAGCTGACGATCCCTGCAGGATGGATCGGATCTGCGGATTGGGGAGAATAATGGATCGGACTCTAATCCATTCTGCTCAATTCGTAGTAGGTGGTAGGTGCCACCCAGTGCAGCGCACACCCCCCGCACCTGCCTAGGGACGCCCCTGCCTAGGGACGCCCCTGCCTGGAGGATTTTTTTTTATTAAATAACACACTAGCCAGCAGGTTTAGAAGTACAATAAGAGGGTTTTTGGATAGGCAAGCCACCTCATTATAATTTGGGGGGGGGGGGGGGGCGACACAGGGCAGCCATCATGCCAGTGTGTTGGAAATTGCTGTAGGGAAAGGATAAGGAAAGCAGATAAAACTGCATAAGGAGAGATTAGGGTCAGTTAGAAACTTTACTTTCATTCTGTTTGCCACTTTTTGTTCAAGCCATTTGCTGCTTTTTTCTAGTTCAAATTATTGGGAGCTTTTTGTTTTAATTTTATTTTGTGGTTAATTTGATAACAGTGCTTACTTTTAACTTTTTTGCCACAAAGCTACCCTTAACAAAAAAAAATAGGGGGTTTTCTTCTAATGAATTTTATCTTTATAGGACCTTTGAGATTGGGGTGCTTGAAGTGCAGATTCACTTGTTACTGACTATCTCTTCTGGAGCTGCATTTTGATCACAGAATGCTTCTGCATTGTCTAAGGAAGAAAAACAAGGAAAAAAACAAAAACAAAAACAGTGTGCACCTTAACCACCTTCCCTTACCCCATCCTAAAACATAAAAGTATGGCATTCATCGGTTAGGCCTATTATCCTACATTGAATCTGTCCTACTACTGAACAGTGTTGCATTACTGTATCCTTTGCAGTAACTTAATTCTTACAATTTTGTACCCTTTGTCCCTAGAAAAATTTGGGCCTAGCTGTGCTATTTAAAATTGTTCTACAGCTGGTCAGTTTTACACTGCTATGTCTTAATCCTTTTATTAAAACATCTGTCTGTTCTCTTTTTCTCTAGTAATTTTCTGCCAGTTCTCCATTAAAAATGTCCTGCTGCTGGGTTATTTTTCTGTATTATCTGCAGTCTATTAATTTTAAATTAGAGTTTGATAGAAACTGGCCAGAAGAGTGACAGTTTTGCATTAGCAAGAATAAGGACAACCTTGGTAACTTACTGGTCAATATCAGTCAGTCAAAGCAGGCCTATTACTGTTTAATGAAAAAGCAAGCGTCGATGCTAGAACTACTTGGGGAAAAAGTCTCTTTTAAATAAAAGGCAACAACATTAGAATGGGGTGCTTTTGCTGTATATAAACCAAGCTAACTGTAAAAGAAAAAAAACATTTTCATAGCAAAATATGCTCTGACTGTGTATGCAAATACTGAGAATCTCTGAAAATTGTACTTTTCCGTAAATACATGTACCATTTGAAGGCATCACCCAAGCATGCTATATAAATGATTTGTAATTATTGCTTCTTGCTGCCACATGAAAAGACCCTCTCATTGCAGCATTTTTTTCTTCCTTGACACATTTTCCATAGCAATCCACAGCTTCCCATTCCTTTTTTTACAGTAGTGTGCATATCAACCCTCAAAATGGCTAGAAAAACAGCACTGTAAGAGTATGGGTAAATAATATTCACCTCCCAAGGAGGTATACCTTTAATTGATGTATAGTAAATCATAATGAATGACATAAAAGAATGTGGCAGCCAGGATGATGCTTTTCTTGGACTACTATATGTTTCACTTTCTTTAGTGGATTTTCTGACTTACTCAAAATGGCTAGAGCCTACTAAAAGGATATCCCTTCAACCCATGGATGACAAAGGAATTCTTCACTATGTGTGGGGTTTGCCGAGGTTTAATCAGGATCAAACCTGATCAAAAATGAATTGAACCAGGCAGATTCACCCATCCAAGCCATAAAGGTGTTGCACTGAGCGCATATGTCATACACAAGGGGAAGCCAGGAAGGACACAAGGCACTGGACAGCTGGTTGATTATCACCATTGTAGTGTTATGGATACCTTAGTTGCTAGTAAATATTAGTCAACCATTTTATGGAGGATATTATTACCTTTCTTCTCTCTTCAGCAGCCTTCATTTTAGCTTCAATATCTTCTTTAGTTAGGCTTTTATTTTTCTTCTTTTTGGTTTTCAGTTTCTCCAACTTTGCTGGAGGTCTCCTTAGAGGCTTCCCAGGTGTTTCCATCTAAAAGCATAAAAGATGTAGCCTTGCTATATAATTTAAAGTGGTCAACTGCCTGCTTGTTAATTATTGCATTGGAGAGAATACAGAGATGAATGTAAACATCTAAGTGATATATGTAATAATACAGAAGCCCCCTTTCCATTTTGCAGTTCCCAGGTTTTATTGGAATTGGGAACTGTAATTCAGTTATTTACACCACCAACTGCACTGCTCCTTAGTAGTAATCAGTCTTGTAAACAAAGAGGGCTATAATAGATAGTTAAGTTACTACCAAAGGGATCCTAATAGGCTTCTGTTTTTTGCATGTAGAAAAAGTAAATGACTTTACATACTCACCATGACATCGTACGCTTCCCCATTCCTAACAACCGTGCTCTGACCCTTGATTATTCCTTCAGACATAAGCTCCTCCAGGATATCTGTGGAAGTTTGCCTTTCCCTTGTGTCTGCTTGTCTGTTGTTCAGTAGAGACAAATCTATAACACCAAAAAAGAATTTTATATATATATATATATACATACATATATTATATATATATATATATATATATATATATACATACACAGTTGCAAGAAAAAGTATGTGAACCCCTTGGGATTACGTGGAGTTTTGCATGAATTGGGCATAAAATGTGCTCTGAACGTCATCTAAGTCACAACAATACAAGAACACAGTCTGCTGAACATAATACTACACAAACATTAGATGTTGCCATGGTTTAATTGCACATAACATGTAAACATTCACAGTGCAGGGAGGAAAAAGTATGTGAGGCCCTAGCTTAATGACTTCTCCCAGAGCTATTGGAGCCAGGAGTGAGCCAACCTTGACTCCAATCAGTGTGATAATATTGGATGTGTTGCTGACAGCTGTCCTGCCCTTAAAAAACACACACCTGTTTTGGGTTTACTGGTTTCAAGAAGCACTGTCTGATGTGAACCATGCCTCGCAGAAAAGAGCTCTCAGAAGACCTACGATCAAGAATTGTTGACTTGCATGAAGCTGGAAAGGGGTACAAAAGTATCTCCAAAAGCCTTGATGTTCATGTGTCCACGGTAAGACAGACTGTCTACAAATGGAGAAAGTTTGGCACTGTTGCTACTCTCCCTAGGCGCGGTCATCCTGTAAAAATGACTGCAAGAGCACAGCGCAGAATGCTGCATGAGGTAAAGAAGAATCCCAGAGTGTCAGCTAAAGACCTACAGAAATCTCTGGCACATGCTAACATTTTTGTTGACACATCTACAATAGGGAAAACATTAAACAAGAATGGAGTACATGGGAGGACACCACGGAGGAAGCCATTGCTGTCCAAAAAGAATATTGCAGCACGTTTGAAGTTTGCAAAAGAGCACCTGGATGTTCCACAGCACTACTGGAAAAATATACTGTGGACAGATGAAACCAAGATTGAGTTGTTTGGGAAGAACACACAACACTATGTGTGGAGAAAAAAAGGCTCAGCACACCAACATCAAAACCTCATCCCCACTGTAAAACATGGCGGAGGGAGCATCATGGTTTGGGGCTGCTTTGCTGCCTCAGGGTCTGGACGAATTGTTGTCATTGATGGGAAAATTAATTCCAGAGTTTATCAAGACATTTTGCAGGAAAACGTACGACCATCTGTCCGCCAACTGAAGCTCCGCAGAGGATGGGTGATGCAACAGGACAATGACCCAAAGCATACAAGTAATTCAACAAAACAATGGCTGCAACAGCACAGAATACGCCTTCTGGAGTGGCCCAGTCAGAGTCCTGACCTCAACCCGATTGAAATGCTGTGGCATGACCTTAAGAGAGTGATTCACACCAGACATCCCAAGAATATTGCTACACTGAAACAGTTTTGTGAAGAGGAGTGGTCCAAAATTACTCCAGATCGTTGTGCAGGTCTGATCTGCAACTACAGGAAACGTTTGGTTGAGGTTATTGCTGCCAAAGGAGGGTCAACCAGTTATTAAGTCCAAAGGTTCACATACTTTTTCCTCCCTGCACTGTGAATGTTTACATGTTATGTGCAATTAAACCATGGCAAAATCTAATGTTTGTGTAGTATTATGTTTAGCAGACTGTGTTCTTCTATTGTGACTTAGATGACGTTCAGAGCACATTTTATGCCCAATTCATGCAAAACTCCACGTAATCCCAAGGGGTTCACATACTTTTTCTTGCAACTGTATGTATACACACACACACGCACACAATATACATACACACACGCATGATAGTATACACACAACACAATACTTCAAGGGATAATAAACCCTTTTTTAAAGCACATTAAGCAGTTGATTTAATCATTTACTGAGTATGCATCTTCTTCATCTTTAATCTTTGCTTATATTACTATTCAAGCTGGTGCCATGACTGCTGTCCCAAGTTTCCTGTTTCAGGAAGGCTCCTTTCTCTATTAGCATCTTATGGAGCCACTCTCCCTCCTCCTTCTTTCCCCCTTCTTTCTCCAAGCTAATAAACAATAAATAGCTTAAAATATAGTGATAACATCTGAATTATACTGGAAATATCCACACATACAAAAGCCCATCATGTACTAGTTACACATGTGGCGTGAGATGGCTTTGATAAGACAATTGCAATCTATAGATCTGCTTATAAAGAGAATAGAGTTGTCTTTTTACTATATAAACTTATTTTCACTTTTAAAACATCCTTTTGTCTCCAAAAATTTGTAATCACTTCTAGAAAGTTAGGGGTTATCTTGCTGCTAGGATACTGCCATTCAAGTTGTATCTAATTACATAATACAAATGAACAATGTCTTGTATGGTTGTCCATCAGGTTTTCACCTGAGCAACTTCACAATGATATAGCTCCAAAACATCCTATTAGCAACATTACTTCAACTTCTGTGAAACAATATTTTCTATTTTGTGCCTGTAACATTAATATCAATCAATCATGCATTGTAATTACTTTTTATCATCATCTATTAAACATGAAAATATAATGCCTTGTATTTTAATAAATAAAAAAGGGAGGTCAAGCTAAATTTAGAGCAGTGGGGTTGCGTTATGTAAAAAGTTGAAAGAAAATTGGAAGTTTTGTCTTAGGATATGTAATATTAATATTATTACTACAGGCACCTATATAGCGCCATCAATTTATGCAGCGCTTTACATTAGACATTGTCTAATGTAAAAAATTGTTTTGTTTCGATTTGAAATCTAAGAAATTTTGTGTAGTTGGATTCGGTAAATTCGGTAATTCGTATTTGAATTCAATTCGAAAACATTTCGACCAAATTCAAAAAGTCATTCATTCAAAATTGGTTCAACCAAATTTGAAAAGTCGTTCGAAATTGAAAAGATTTAAACCGAATTTGAAAAAATTTGACCAAATTCAAAAAATTAAGCTGGCAATACATGTGTATATCTGAAAAAAAAAGTCAGCAACTACAAAAACTGTAGCTGCTGACTTTTAAAAAAAATGGACACTTACTTGTCCCTCGATCCCGCGGTGTGTGCCCCCCCAGCCCATTTCACCGGCCGCCCTGTGTTCCCAGCACCAGCATCTTCAGTGTGGGCACCCGGCTGTAACAGCCTGCAGCTTCACTGCTCACTGCGCATGCACGAGTAGTGCTGGGCTTTGTGAATGATCCCGTAATCTTCTAGGACCTGTCACATATCCCAGAAGATTACGGAGAGGGAGGGGGGAGGACAACTTCCGCTTCCAATCGCCTAGGTCAGGGGCAGGCAACCTGCGGCTCTATAGCTGTTGTGGAACTACATTTCCCATGAGACACTGCAACATTACAAAACTGCCAGTTACAGCTATGACTTGCAGAGGCATGATGGAACTTTTAGTCCTGCAACAGCTGGAGAGCCGCAGGTTGCCTATCCCTGGCCTAGGTGATGGCAGAGGAAGTGGGAGCGGGTACCTGCTCCCCCCCCCCCGCTCCCCAAAGGTGCCAATCCTTAACAGGGAGCAGGGGACTAGTCCTTAAAGCGGAACTTCCCCTTTCCCCCCCCACTTTAAATTGGTTTTCGGATTTGTTTTTCAATTTGTTTTTGATTTTGTTTTCGAATTGAATTTTGGCAGAATTTAGTTTTGTTAGTTCAGATTCGTTTTAAATGTGTTAGTTTTGTAATTCAGAATTCCGATACATCCGAATAACAAAAATATTTTGTCCAAAAGTGGATTCGGAATGAAACTAACTGCATATGTCTACTTTACATATATACTGTACATTCATAATAGTCCCTGCCGTCAAGGAGCTTACAATCTAAGGTCCCTAACTCACATTCATACATACACATACTAGGGCCAGTTTAGACAGGAGCCAATTAACCTACCAGCATGTCTTTGGAATGAAAATATATGTCATTGGTAGGTGATGGGCAACACCTCCACTTTTAATTTGTAATAAATCAACCCTGTTATCTACTGTTAAATTTCAAAACCTGTAGCATGGTTTGTTCATACATACAGGCCTTTTGATAAAGCAATGAATGTGACATTCACCAAATATTCACGGCAAGTGAATCTTTGCAATGACCCCTTTCCCTGTAAAGATTAAATGCTTGTTGACAAGGGTTGCAGAGGAGGCTGCATTGCTTACCTGAATGCCGATTCAGCAGACTCCCTGCCTCCGTTATGCTCAGCCCCACCATGTACAATATATGGTACATAGCTCTGCATTGTACACAATGACAGATTCTCTACCCACAGACCTGAGCTTCGGGGAGGGGAGAACAGTGTCAACGTCTGGTGGGGCAAGGAAAAGGTAAGTAATGCAGCCACTTCTGCAACCTCCTAGAGTTGGGCTTTAATCAATCCAGTTACCTACTGAAGGATTTCACCTAATACATTTGCCATAGTTTGTTCATATATGGACATTTGTTTATAAAGCAGCGAATGTGACATTCACCATATATTCACTGCAGGTAAATTAATCACATTATTTTAAACAGGAAGATAGACCTGTAGTGAATATCTGGAGAATGTCACATTCACTGCTTTGGAAATATGCTCCAAAATATGACACTAAGCACATTGAAAATTTTTTTTATATATATATATATATATGTATGTATATATATATAGTAAGCATTTGTATATTCTGCTGGGTGAACGCAAAAGCCAACATTACATCAAAATTGTATCTGCTACTCCTTTTTCCTTTTCCTCCTCAGTTTCCTTCCATTAATTATACTTACACTGCCTACTTTATAATATAGAAAAAATACTGTAGCTCAATTTATAAATGGATGAAGGCAATGTCAATTTCATACAATTACTTTTCTATTTTTATACTAATGTATGTTGTGCAGTTATAGTCTGAAAAGACCCTGTAGAGCTTTTGACTTGATGGAAAACGTCAAAGAAACTAAAGAAAATGTGAAGGGTATGTGTGCTTTTAGATGTTTTTTGACTAGGAGCTGAGCTGTGGATTGTTCTGCTGCAGTTAAAAGGGAACCTATCACTGGTCAAATAAGCAGTTGTTGGCCCTTGATCAGGACTGTAGAAGCTGTGTATGCATCTAATAAAAAATGGTAACAATTTAATAGGGTGTACATGCTGCTTGTAAAGTTCTATTTCTATTCAGGTTTGACCTATTTTAGATCTTACTGGTTGAGATTTGAAAACATTTTCTAAAATACATCCACTTTTTGAATAAGAAATCATTTATTGTACCATTACAGGAACCCTGTACTAATAAGTATGGATAGTTTCTTATGCTGACTTCTTCTGAAAATGTTTGCCGCCCAGTTGTCATACTGATCCAATGACTTCTGAATTTCACTAGTCACTGACCTGGAACACATACATATGTAGATCACATGTTCTACTTAATTTGCTATGCATGCTTGTTTTGGGTTTGAAGCAGGAGAAAGCCAGACTACTAGCCATTTTTGAAGGTAGTTAGCAATACACATACACTAGTAGCTATAAAAAAAAAACGCCTATATGGACCTTTAGCAATTCTAATTTACTTCTGCAAGGGTTTAATGCCAGCTCTTCTGAATGGTCAAGCTCCAATCATTCCAAATAGTTTCAGAGCTTGCCTACTCCATCCTGCCTCATAACAGTCATAGTTTATGATTAACAATAAGGCAGTCCATCATAAAGATAGGCCAAAAGGAATGTAGGGGAGCAGAAGTGAGTGAGCAAGCTCTGACACTTCCTTTAAACCAGAAGTAAAAACAATAAAGTGGTTTCTTGTGTGAATTCTGTCCATTCACTGCTCTACTTACCATTATTCAAAACATGTGTCCTCCTTGGAGAAGCTGCCTCTACTGTTCCTGGTAGATGGTTGCCTACACCCTCATCATCAAGACCCAAGCCACTATCCATTGTTCCTTTTGATAGTGCTGATCCATCTCTGACATTGGTGCCATTGTTTCTTGGAGACTTAAATTCATCCTACAAATAAACAGGCAAATATTGTAAAGAAATCAGCAGTCAATCTGGTCAAAAGGTTAATCAATACCTCACTTTTTTCCTCTGTTACTGATTAGATCAAAATGCAATTTACGTAATATATAATATATACTACCAATATTTATGGTGAACATCTTCAACGAAAAAAATATTTAAACATGCAACATTAAACAAAAGCAGGCACTATGATATATCGGCATGAACCTATTAAGTACGTCTCTCGAACTCTGGAATCCCTTAAAATGCAGGACAAAATCATATGCAATTAAAAAGTTTTCAAAGCAAAATCAAGAACCAACCCCTTCCTCCAAAAGACTTACTACTGGATACTGAGCATGTCTACACATGTCTACAATAATTAAGTGCTGGAGACAGGTGAGCCCTAAAATTGCTTATCAAACTTGTAATTTGCAAATCAGAGCACCCTGGGTTTTAGAGGGGATTGTAGTGCTTGTAAAACATTAATGCTGAAGGTTTACATTTTGTCTAATTTGGATAGGTTTTCTTTAATATTGAAATGATGGAATACTCAAGATGGGTGTGTTACTTTTTCTAACATGCATGTTCTGAATTCAGAACATGGCTATAAACTGCTTGAACTGCAGTCATGTGTGATTCCATACCACTGATGTACATCTCAGCTACTGTACTTGTGATAGGTTTCAGTAATTAAAGTTTTTTGCTCTTTTGTTCTTCAAGTTGGTGGCTGGTTGCTTTTTGGGTAACCATGTGTGGGTAGAACAGCCTTTCAACCAGCGTGCCTTCAGGTTTCTTCAAGGGTGCCTTGGCAAAATAGCTGAAAATTGTCCACAAATCATACACAACCCAGCTAGCGGATCAAGCCTGCCTTTTGGGCCAGGTTCACACCAATGCATTGTTCTTTTTGTTCCTTTTCCAGTACTTTTTGCAGTGTGTTTTTTGCCATATTTTGTGTTTTTTTCAGCTTTGTTTTATTGAAGTGGAAATTTTTTTGTTGAAGTGGAAATTTTTTTGTTGCTGGGCAAAAACATGACAAAAACACACTACATGCATTTCAGTAGCTTCTCCATTGAACTCTATGGTGGCGAAAATGCTGCTTTTTGCATTTAGAAAAGTCCCTGACCCTTTTGCGAAAAGCAGCAGCTCAAAAAAGCATAGATGTGAGCATGTCCCATAGGAACACATATGCAATGGAAAAACAGAATGGTTGGCCGCACAAACAGCAATGTGGTGGATGAAATCCTTTATTGGAATCCTTTACATGCAATATGATAAAAACATTACAGCTCCAAGACAGGGCAGAGGAGCAGTAGACGCATTTCACACGAACATGTGCTTAGTCATTACTGATTTTCACTTGTCAGGGGAAGCTTTAAACAGAATATAACAGCTGATTACAATTAGAAATTAAACTTGAATCAGGAATAACATAGTATACAAATCACATGACACAACTTTAAAAACATGACATATACTGACAGAAATGAAACCGCACCTCTGATATACGTCATATCTAGAACAAATCACAGATATATGAAAGATCTGGAGAGGAGGGAGGAAGAATCGACAATGGACATTTAGACCAATATCCTCTCAGAACACATCCACGCAAGGAATAGCCAATACATCTAGTGTATTAAACGGCTCAAGTAGGGTTCTGACCACAGATGAAACATCTTTGTTGTCCAAAGGTCTTAATTTTTGTATGCATAGACACTTCAACCTCTTTGAAACCATAATTGATATAAATAAATTTATATGTAATATGACCATTAAAAGACATTTTTTTGGTACCGAAGAGGTTAATGTGAACCCAAATTTTGAGGATCTTTCAGTATTTGATTTCAATACACATTTATCCTTTCAGGATCATTGTGTGGTTATTGCTTTTGAGGATTTGTTAGATGAGAGTGGTTTTATGGCAAATGATAGAAACTTAGGTAATGTTCATAAAGTACCCCTCAAAGTCAGGTCTGATTTTTATCCTGTTGGTTCCCGTTGTGCAAAGATGGATACATTTCATAAATTAGTGGAACAAGATCTTGTGAGACTAGCCACTCCCTTCTAAATCCAATACACATAATGATAATCTCACTGTAGGTGAAAGGTCTGCTTTACATAGTTTGATGTCAGATCCATCTATAGTGATCTGTAATGCTGATAAGGGTGGGATGGTAGTAATAATGGATACTGAGTCCTATAAAAAAAGCTTTGAGATAATTGTCAGATGTGAAGACATATAGGATACGTAAAAGTAATCCAACTATAACATTTAAGATGACTTTGGCCAATTTAGTAGCCAAGGGGGTCTATGTGGGAGTTTTTAGCTTCAAGGATGCACAATCCGTTGTTCCTGACTATCCTATCCTACCTACGTTTTACCATATTCCGAAACCTCCTAAGGGTCTTGATCCCCTCTTAGATCCTCCCATAGTGACTAGTATCGGTTCTTTGAATGAGAGGCTTAGTCAGTGGTTGGATGGACATTTACAGCCTTTAGTGAGTAGGTTGCTAGGATATCTTAGAGATACTAACCATTTGTTACAGGTCATGCAGGATGTAATTTGGGAAGAGAGTTACATCTGGTTTACATGTGATGTACCCAGTTTTCAATCCCATAATTTAGCTCCTGTCTTGGAGCTGTCATGTTTTTATCATATTGCATGAAAAGGATTCCAATAAAGAATACAGAGGAAAAGGGGGCACTCTTTACATCTGGAGGAAAAGAAATGTAATCTTTAAACACAGAAAGGTTTCTTCACAGTGAGAGCTGTGAAAATGTGGAATAGACTCCCTCAAGAATTGGTTCTGGCCATCTCAGTAGTTTGTTTTAAAAAATGCCTGGATTCTTTCTTAGATACACAGAATATAACTGGTTACTAACATTTATAGGTAAAGTTGATCCAGAGAATATCCGATCGCCTCTTGGGGGATCAGGAAGGAATTTTTTTTTCCCTGCAGGAGCAAATTGGATCATGCTTTGCTGAGTTTTTTGCCTTCCTCTGGATCAACTGTGGGTATAGGATTATAACTTTTTTTTAATGGTTGAACTGGATGGGCTTTTTGTCTTTTTTACACCAGACTAACTTTGTAACTATGTGATTTCATCCACCACATCACTGTTTGTGCTGCCAACCATTCTGTTTTTCCATTGCATCTGTGATCACGAATTGGGCCAGCACCTGCATGTCTATGGAGGGGTTATACAGATTCGGCACTCACCTGGAGTGGACCTTTTGCTACATAGGAAAGCATGTTAAATGGACTGTAGTGTGTTTCTACAAAAAGCACTAAAAAAACGCATTGGTGTGAACCAGTTACACAAAGCCAAAATTTTCATTGTACACCATTATAACCTTCCAGTCCTAACAATCAATGATGTCATCAGTTGATAAGGAGGATGTCGGGTGCCTGCACAGCACCTTTCTTTACCCCTCTCCATCAGCACTGAGATCACATTAGTTGAGTCAGGGAGAAAAACTGAGAAAGAAGAAAAACATTGGAATACTAGTCAGTATCAGTGTGCAAAGGTGTATTTGCTTTGAAAAGTGTCTCCTCTAAGGTTGGGTGTCCTAAATGTGTGGATGTTGTTGTGTTATGAAAAACTACTAGTTTAGTTTTTCACAAATTAGCCTCAAGACCGTGTATAATTTTATAGGGTGCCTTGAACGAAAAAAGGATGAAAAACACTGGGTTAGAAGACTGTTGTGACAAGAGGGAAATGGATTTTGTGCTTATAGAAATTTATGTTTGGATATATTTGTTGTGAATTTGCTTGATAGCAGCATTGTTGCCATTAGTTAGCCACTTGCCCTCCAGAGGATTTACTCCCCTTCCTGACCAGCCCATTTTTTGTGATATGGTGCTGTGTTACTTTAACTGACAATTGCACAGTCATGCAATGTTGCACCCAAATGACATTTATGTCCCACAAATGAAGCTTTCTTTCGGTGGTATTTGATCACCTGTGCATTTTTTTATTTTTTGAGCTATAAACAAAAAAAGACCAACACTTTTGAAAAAAAAAAAAACAACATTTTTTACTTTTTGCTATAAAACTTATCCAGTAAAAATAATTTAAAAAATCAAATTTCTTCATAAATTTAGACCAAAATGTATTCTGCTACATGTCTTTGCTAATAAAAAATCCCAATACGTGTGAAATGATTGGTTTACATGAAAGTTATAGCATCTACAAATGGCGGTATATATACTGTAATTTTTATTTTTTTATACTAGTAATGGCAGCGATCAGCTGCAGGACTGCGGCATTCTGACACTAGGTGGGAACTAACTGCCACTGACATCCCAATGACACTAACACAGTGATCAGTGCTAATAAAAAGCACTGACACTATACTAATGACACTGGGCAGGAAGGGGTTAACAGCTGGGGCGATCAAAGAGTTAACAGTGTGTTGCTTTACATGATGAGCTGTGTGTGTTTTACTAGAAAGACATGCTGCTGTGTATTTCTCTGCTGTGCAGAGAAATACACAGCAGCATGTCCTTGCTGGCAGGAGAGAGACCTGTTTTGTTCACACACAGATCTCCCCCTGTCAGCTTTGTCCGACAATCTCCGGGTGCCAGTGGGGAATCTCTGGCTGGGACCCGGTGATTGACATCCCTGGCCGCCAATGGAGGCATGGGTAGGGTGGAGCAATCACGCCCCCTACCCAGAAGTTCAAATCATGTATATATACATGATTTTGCACAGCCCTGCTTCCCTGTAGCAGTAATTCTACTATAGGGTGGCGGGAAAGCAGTTAAAAAACTCAATCAAGTTATTTTCTGTGTTGAAAAAAGGAAAGATACTACCAAATAGGTACTTTTTTGCAGACACGCGCAAGTCCACAACCCAGGGTTGAGAGACCTGTGAGGTGTGTTTTTACAAAATTGCACTTAACTCACACGTGCCAATTTTGTATGTAAACCCAGTTATGAAAGCTGTGAAAATATCTTCGTTTTGCCTTGTAAATTCAGTTGTACGAGTTTTGTTTATATA